TACAGTAGAATACCATTCAGCCTTCAACAGGAGAAAAATTCGACAATATGCAATGATATGGATGAGCTTTGAGAACATTATGCTAAGTGAAATAAGCCAGTCACAGAAAGACAAGTTACTATGTGATTTCACTTACATAAAGTATCTAAACTAGCCAAATTAATAGACTCGAAAACATGAGGGTTACCAGGAACCAGGAGAAAGAGAAAATAGGAAATTTCTATTCAAAGGACATAAAGTGTTAGTTAAACAAGATTAATAAGCTCTAGATGAATAACATCTAGAGGTCTGATATACAATGTTGTACCTATAGTCAGTAATGACATATTATATACTACAAAAACTTAAGAGAGTAGATCTCATGTGGATTGTTCTTATCACAATAGCATAAATTTTTAAAAAATGTGGAAGATAAATATCAAACCACTGATAACAGTTACTTCTGGAGAGACTTATGGAAGTGGAGAGAGGTCAAGGGAAAGAGGAGTTTTCATTTTTTCTCTGCTAACGTTTATATTGTTTGAAAGTTTTTATAATAAAATATAGTTGTATAAAAAAGGAAACATTCTGATTTCCTAAATCATTTGAATTATTGGAAATTTTGTTATAAGTTTGTGTAAACCTCATTTTGACAATTCAACCCTTGTGTTATCCTGTTCCTGAACTTTAAATAAATGTAATACTATATATTAAACTTAACATGTTATTATTATAATAACAAAAACTATTATTATTTTGCACCAATAATTATATAACAATGTTTATATGATATATATTACAGTTATGCATCACTTAACAATGAGGATATGTTCTAAGAAATGTCTCTTTAGGCAAGGTTGTCATTCTGCGGACATCAGAAAATGTGCTTACACAAACCTAAATTGTGTCTATTTTTTATTTTTATATATTTTTTATATGGAAAACCAAATGTCCCAGTGCCATTACTGAGTATCAATCATTTCTCCTACTTGATCTGTAATATTAGTATCAACTGCAAAATAGCAGTTTACTACATTTGCTTCATTATAATTGTATGGGATCACTGTTGTATATGAAGTCCTTTGTTGACTGAGATGTCGTTATGCAGTGCATGACTGTTGTATAACAAACCTTTTCTATCCGATTTATTTCACTCAATATATTATTTGTAGTTATAGCTTGTTCATTTTTATTGTCAATTAGTATTTCACTATATAAATACATCTCACTATGTACATTCTACTATTAATGTGCATTTCAGCTATATCAATTATTGGCTGTTATAGAGACTACTTCTGTAATTATTGATGCATATATCTTTAGGTGAAATATGTAATGATATTGATAGATACATAGCTAGGACTGGGATTTGAAGATCATAGCATATGTACATGACAAGCTTTTGGAGATACTGTCAACCCTGAAAAATGATTTACTAATTGACTTTCTTACCGTCAATGTATGAGGATGCCATTTACTCCACATCTTTCTTACCACTTAATATTTTTTATTTTAGCCATGCTGGTCAGTGTATAGTGGAACTGCCTAGTGGTCTTAAATATTCTTTCCCTTATGACTAGGAAAGTAGAGCATCTTTTTTCCTGTTTACTAGAAATTTGGATATTCTAAGAAATTATCAGTCAAAACCTTCCTCATTTATCTATGTGGTAGGCTTTTTTCCTTATTGATTTTTAATAATTCTCTATATATTTTATATACGAGTAATGTAGTTTGGTGATTTTATCTGTTGATAGCATATTTAATGAAAGAAGTTCTTCATTTTTACATACACTGGCTAATCAATATATTTCCAATATTGTTAGCATGTGTATGCCTATGTACTTGAATTCTATTTTACAATCTCTCCTTATTTTAAAGTCATGAAGATATTATCTTTGTTTCCAAAGGTTGTATCATTTTTCCTTTCAAGTGTACATCCATAATTCAAGTGGAATGTGTTTTTTGTATAGTGTAAAAATGCAAAGCACATAATCATTCTTAGGTGTTTCCTTCAAGAATTAATACAAATCTTTTTATTTGCTGCAAGTCACATGGCCATGACTAACTACAAGGGGCTGGGCATGTATAATCATCTCATGTTCCTGAAGACAATAAGAAAACTGGAAATATTAGTAAACACCAATAATGTCTAATGTAAGTGTCCCAAACAGATAATTTTAATTTTCATTATCTGATCATTCAAAAACCTGTTTTCAATCTGTGTATTGTTCTTTAGGAAATCTTTCGGATTTTTTTTCTTCCTGTGATTATTTAAGCCAAGGTCAAGTTGCTGTACATAATGTTTTTAATTTTTGCATTTATTTATATTTAAATGTATAACGTTATGTTTATTTGTCATGTACTAACAAATAAGTTCTTGTATTGTCTACTTGGCTGACTAAAGCTTTCCTACCTTACCTAGGGTCAGAAGACTTTGAATATGCAGATTAGCTTGATTTAATTGTCTGATGTCTGTTTATCCAACTGACCTGATATGTTCATTTGAACAATCAGGTTTTCTAAATACAAAAATTTTTACTGTAGGTTATAAATTTTTTAACAAGCCTGATACATGAATATATATGCTGTCCTGTTTATAATATTTTTTCTAAAATTATGATAAAATTTAGTGGGTACCACTTAATCATTCTTTATCTATGACCTTTTCTGGTTATGAAGCAGAATTTCCATGCTCATAGACTGATAAAGAACTAGAAGTTTTAGTTAAAGTTCAAAGACATAACATAACTCTGGTAGATTTGCATAAATGTAGTTTCAAATGGTACATTTTTAATGGAATAGATCAATAATATGCCATACAATTGTCATAGAAAATAAAAGGAAGTCAAATATATTTTCAGTTTTGTATGCCTATCTTTAATACATTGGCTCAATATTTGCAATATACATTGTGCAATATTATTATTGTACTTTAGGTTCTAGGGTACGTGTGCAGATCATGCAGGATTGTTACATAGGTACATATGTGGCAAGGTGGTTTGCTGCCTTCCTCCCCCCATCACCTATATCTGGTATTTCTCCCCGTGTTATCCCTCCCCATCCTCCCCACTCCCTGCTGTCCTTCCCCTAGTCACTCCCATCTGACTGCAGTGTGTGATGCTCCCCTCCCTGTGTCCACGTGTTCTAATTGTTCAACACCTGCCTATGAGTGATAACGTGGTGTTTGATTTTCTGTTCTGTGTCAATTTGCTGAGAATTATAGTTTCCAGATTCATCCATGTCCCTATGAAGGACACAAACTCATTGTTTTTATGGATGCATAGTATTCCATGGTGTATATGTGCCACATTTTCTTTATCCAGTCTATTGTTGATGGACATCTGGGTTGGTTCCAGGTCTTTGCTATTGTAAACAGTGCTGCAATGAACATACTTGTGCATGTGTCTTTATAGTAGAACAATTTGTAGTTCTTTGGGTATACACCCAGTAATGGAATTGCTGGGTCGAATGGTATTTCTATTTTTAGGTCCTTGAGGAATTGCCACTCTGTCTTCCACAATGGTTGCACTAATTTGCACTCCCATCAACAGTGTAAAAGTGTTTCTATTTCTTCACATCCTCTCCAGAATCTTTTGTCTTCAGATTTTTAAATGATTGCCAGTCTAACTGGCATGAGATGGTATCTCAATGTGGTTTTGATTTGCATTTCTCTGATGACCAGTGATGATGGGCATTTTTTCATGTTTGTTGGCCTCATAGATGTCCTCTTTTGTAAAGTGTCTGTTCATATTCTTTGCCCACTTTTCAATGGGCTTGTTTGTTTTTTTCTTGTAAATCTGTTTTAGTTCTTTGTAGATTCTGGATATTAGCCCTTTGTCAGATGGGTAGACTGCAAAAATGTTTTCCATTTTGTTGGTTGCTAGTTCACTCTAATGATTATTTCCTTTGCTGTACAGAAGCTCTGGAGTTTAATTAGATCCCATTTGTCTATTTTGGCTTTTGTTGCCATTGCTTTTGGTGTTTTAGCCATGAAGTCCTTGCCTATGCCTATGTCCTGATTGGTTTTACCTAGGTTTTCTTCTAGGATTTTTATGGTGTTAGGTCTTATGTTTAGATCTTTAATCCATCTGGAGTATTATCACAAAGTTTCTAAAAAGCCTCTTCCACATGTAAATTAACATGTAAATACATAGCATAATGTTCTTAACCCTAATAGCCTCACATTGTTGATTTCTCAGGCCATAGGATTCTATCATTGTACCTATCCTTCAACCAAACAGCTTAATACAACATGATGCATATAGAAGTTCATAAATATTAATGTAATAAATGTATCCTCTATAATTACTCACCATTATTTCCTGTTCTCTTTCATCCACTTTTAAATGTATATCTGCTTTTGTTACTCTAGGTGTCTTGATACAAACTACCAACTATAATCTGTTACTGCAGAATTTTCTGAACTATGGTTCACTCATATGAAAATGGAACCTTTAACAGTTACCTTATCATAGAGTTCACATTACAAACAAATATGTCAATTTCAGTAAATCATTTAAAACCGTAAGTGCCAGTGAATAATTGATGTTTTATCGATATTTTCAGAATCCTGTCACCAAAATTATCTATAATGACTGAACAAATTTTATTCCATTGCTTTCCTATTCCCTTTGGTGATTCAGAAACTGCAAAAATTTAAAAATTGCATGGCTTAATTAACTACTCCCCACTAATAGTTGGATCCTCAGATGAAACATTTCAGTCTTAAGTATCAAGCTATTAATCTGAAAACTAAAGAGTAACTTCTTTGTAGGGTTACCTTGGGTTACCAAGCAATATAAGTGTAAGCACTTTATGAAAGATGCAATCTTTACAGATTACGTTATTACCATCAATAAACTCATTACTATGCTTATACTCAAAATGTTGTGGAGAAAGGAATGTCATTACTGTTCATATTCACCCTTGCTACCTGCATTCTATCTTTTTTGGTGATACACTCCTTATGATGAGCATATGGAGGAAATATTAATTATTAGACATTTTAAGACTACTGGTGATTAACCATCTTTTAAGGAAAAGATCCTCAATACTTGCTTTCGAATCTGCTTGGTTCTGACCCCATAGATTACAGGATTGAGGGCTGGTGGAACAACTACATATAGATTGGCTAAGAGGATGTGGATATATTGAGGGATATTGTGGCCAAAACGATGTGTCAAGAAAGAGAAAAATGCTGGTGTAAAAAAGGCTAAAATAACACCAATGTGGGAGCCACAGGTGTTGAGAGCTTTGAGCCGGGCCTCCCAGGAGGGTAAGCAGAAGACTGCATAGAGGATCCTCACGTAGGAAAGCGTAATAAAAATTACATCTAATGATAAAATAAATATATCCCCAAGGCCAAATATTATGTTGACTTTGATGCTGGCACAGGCCAGACGGGCAATGCCCATGTGCTCACAGTAAGTATGAGGGATGATATGGTGCTCACAGAAAGGCAACCTTAGGAGAAGAAACACCAGTGGAGCCACCATACACAGGCTCCGTAGAGTAGCAATGCCTGCAATGAGTCTGATGATTTTGCTGGTGAGGATCATGGTGTATCTAAGGGGTTTGCAAATGGCAATGTAGCGGTCAAAGGCCATGGCCACCAACACAATGCTCTCCATGACAGTGAAGAAATGGATGAAGAACATCTGAGAAAGACAGCCTTCAAAAGATATTTCCTTGAGGCTGAACCAGAAGATGCCCAGCATTTTGGGGATGGTGGCTGTGGATAAGCACAGGTCAACGGAATCCAGCATGGCCAGAAAGTAGTACATAGGCTCATGGAGACTCTGCTCAGTCTGGATCACAAACAAGACAGCAGCGTTTCCCAGGAGTGCAACAAGATACAGGAAGAAAAAAGGAAATCCAATCCAAATGTGCACATCTTCCAGCCCTGGGATGCCCTGGAGCAGGAATGAAGAAGGATGGAACTGCGTGTCATTAGAAATGGCCATCCTCCTTGCTACTATTGGTGATTGTGTGTATCAGAGTTAGAAATTGGCTTCTCATTAGTGATTTTTGTTCCACTTTTTTCTTTCTTCAGACTCCTGGTAAAACGCAAAATCACATTTTAATACTTCTTTTATTTCATTTGATATTATCAACACTTCATGCCATCCTTATCTCAACATCAGATAGTTCCAGGAATAGAGTTAGCCTTACTCTTCACCAGATCCTTTCTTCCACAAAAGGTTGAACAAGAAGAGAGAAGAGAAGATATCTATTTATCAGGTAATATTCAGTGTAAGAAGTGAGAATCATAAACGTCCTTGTTCTCTGTATCTGGTGGTGTTACAAATATAGCAGTTAATACACATGAAATATAATTTAGGTAATCCAATTCATTCTCCTATTAGAGAATTTGATCATTAATATATGTCATATCTATTAATATATATTAATGTTTAGAGTTATCATTTATATATAAACACATATACTTAATTATACATATATACGTCTGAAAACAGAAACTATACATTTACTTTTGTTTATTTATGCACTTAAAACTTCACACGTATTAAGTTCTCAGAAAACATGTTTGTCAAGCAAAGGAGTAAGAGAGGAAATAACAACAACCAGCATGACCCGTATGATTAGTAATGTAATTTTCACCCTAACTTGGTCTTCCAAAAGCAATCTTCATCCAAAATATTTTGTATCATGAATAAAGGCACAGATGAAAACATTTTGCACAAGGACTTTTAAAGTTGGGGTAAAACTTGAGTTTATGCAATATCTTACATTGAAATGGTCTAATTATCTACCAAATATGCAAAATTTCAAACTCATTAAGGAAATTATCTCATGAAGGTCAATCAGGGACACCTACAGAGTTTCTAATTTTCTAGGCTCTACTGTATTCAAATTCTATTTTACCTTGCTTATGCATGGAAAATGGCATATCATGTTAGGTACCGTTGAAATTGGTAGTCCAACAAAGCTGTCCTCAATTCCAGATCTGGATGTTTTTTCTGGACCTTTTAAAACACTAAATAAAATTATTATTAAATGGTTTGCTATATAGAAACTAGCTTGAGTGACAAAATGTTAGATTTATTTATTCCAATTTTTTTTTTTAATCAAGAAAGGAGAAGCTTATTGCTGGGTAACTTCCTGAGATGAAACAATTTTGGAAACAGTGTGAAAATGATAGGCTTTAGGGATCAATGCCTGGAAGTTGTGGAAGTTTGTATTTGGGTGGTACCCGTCAGAAATGGAGATATATAAAAAAAAAAGCATCATTGCCCCTTTAACCCAGGAAAAATTCTCTTCTTTTTGCTATTTCTAATAGGTTCCAGCTGGACAGCCTCTAGCAAAGAATGCCGTCCAGCTGGAACCTATTAGAAATAGCAAAATGAAGAGAAATTTGGGGATACTAAATAGAAATTTAGACAGAAATTTTATTTCATTTTATTTTATTTTTCCAATTTATTTATTTTATTGCATTTTAGGTTTTGGGGTACGTGTGAAGAACATGCAAGATTGTTGCGTAGGTACACACGTGGCAGTGTGATTTGCTGCCTTCCTCCCCATCACCTACATCTGGCATTTCTCCCCTTGCTATCTCTCCCCAGCTCCCCACCTCCCACCATCCCTCCCCTATTTCCCACCAACTGACCCCAGTGTGTAGTGCTCCCCTCCCTGTGTCCATGTGTTCTCATTGTTCAACACCCGCCTATGAGTGAGAACATGCAGTGTTTGATCTTCTGCTCTTCTAGACAGAAATTTTAAATAAGACTTGGTCTCCATCATTCTCAGCAAACTGACAGAAGAGCAGAAGATTGAACACCGCATGTTCTCACTCATAGGCTGGTGTTGAACAATGAGAACACATGGACACAGGGAGGGGAGCACTACACACTGGGGTCAGTGAGGGGAAATAGGGGAGGGACTGTGGGGGGTGGGGGGTTGGGGAGAGATAGCAAGGGGAGAAATGCCAGATGTAGGTGATGGGGAGGAAGGCAGCAAATCACACTGCCACGTGTGTACCTACGCAACAATCTTGCATGTTCTTCACACGTACCCCAAAACCTAAAATGCAATAAAATAAATAAATGGAAAAAAAAAAAAGACTTGGTCAATGCTTTCACAATATAGTGAGGAAGACATAATTGAAAAAATAAAATCAGAATAAAATGTATTTATGGTAGAAAAAATGGAAAATATTGTCAGTATGTATTGGGACAAAGAAGCTCCATGTAGGAGGTAAAATAGATCAAAGCCAACTACACTTTTACAGACAAAATAGTATAGGAAGTTTATTGCAGGTAAAGAGAAAAAGATATACAAATTGAGAACAGAAATCAAAATTCTCAGTGGCCCTACTTTACAGGGTGAGTTTCCATTCAGGACTTACATTCTGTGGCCCTCTATGTAGCCTTCTTCAGATTCTGGAGATCGATATCTCTACTTGTTAACTGATAAGTGTCTCAGTCATTCTCAAGTCCTACCTAGAGCATGAGGTAGGATTGTTGTCATTTTATCCAAAGAAGAAAGCCCATCCCAATCCCAATCCTGATTATCCAGGTGCATTCTCCAGAATTGGTGCCTTCCTAAGAGCTGAATTAGCCACTCTTCCTAATTAATAAACACTGAGCAAATCAACCTGTCACTTATACATTCCCCAGAAGTATATAGTGATCTAGTCTAACTACCAACATGTTTTCATAGATCCCCAAATATTTGCCAGCTGCAGTGATGAGACTGGGTCTTATTCTCTCCTCTGAGACCATGATTTCTAACATCCAAAAATGAACTTATATCAAACAGCAATTTTCTCAGTTCTGCATCATGGTAGTCACTGTTCTTCCATATTCCGCAGCTTCCATCCATCTACCTGCCTTGCCCCACGGTCATGAACACCATTTCATGTCCTGAAACTGGTAAGAATAAGAATAGATTTTCTGCACCAGTGGTGTGCAATCAGGGGCAACTTTTTCCCTAGGGAATATGTGACAATGTAGGAGCATACCTGTGATCATCACAACTTCGTGTAAGTGCTACTGGTATCTAGTGTATAGATGTCAGGGATGCTTCTAAACATCCTTAAGCTAAGACTTCCCAGAGCAAAGAATTATGTTGCCCAAAATATCAGTAGGTTGAGATTAATAAACCCTCCTATATATGTTTTAATCTTACATCTGTCAGTTTCCAATCCCATGACATATGCTGCCGTAAAACAACCTAAACCATCTACATGTTATCAATTTTGGAAACAGTGTGGAAATGATAGGCTTTAGGGTAAATGCCGGGAAGTTGTAGGAGTTCGTATTTGGGTGGTACCCATCAGAAATGGAGATATAAAAGAGCATTTCTCTTCTGCTTTCCTACTTTATTTTTGGGTTTCGTGAAAAACAAACAAGGTAACAAATTCAACTCTACCAACATTCATGGTTATGCTTTATAATTTATTCATTCATTAGTTCCTTCATTCAAAATTATACTTGTTGGTCTTGTTTACTAGGTTTTACAACACTCTCAGTACCAGAAAAATATAGTCCTTGACTTCTTGATATCCACATTTCATCCCTAGCATATAAAGTGAAAAAGAAAAAGTAGCTGAGACGATACAGATTTTTTTCTGTCAGCATCTCATCTGTAGCTGTATGTTTAGGATTATGGATGCAAAGAGATATTTGCATATGTATGACAGTATATAGTCATGATAATTTTTGGGTATAAAATTTGAAATGCCAAAAGTTTATCTCTGTGTTATTTATCTTTTCTCCAACTGTCTGTATTTTACCTCCACACCTCTATCTTAGCTTAGCATGAATTCATTCCTCATCTCCCATGTTGCTTCCCACAGCCCTAACCAGTATTATGCAATCTTACCTTTCTTTCCAAATATATCTGAAAGTCTCAATTTTGCAATCATCTGATATCTCTCTGGATTCACACTTTCATAAGCAAAGGTAGGCATTTATAGTGGTGCTGTAGCCCTGCTTCCACTGGGATGGGAATTATCCCTGGGTTCTTGGCATTGACTACGTGATATTCACTGGAGAGTTTACCTAAGAAACATTCCTCTCTATGCTGGAACTATGGGGTAAGAATAATCTCCGTCTTTATTTTCCAGTGGTAGATTCTGTATTATTTCTGCTTTCCAAATTAAAAATTTAACCTCCCACTTAACAACTGGAAAGTTAAGTCTTTGCCACCTTCTTCTATAGTATATTCCACCAGGTTTCCATTACTCTTTTGTCTGCATCTTCTCTGTTATCCTTAAATCCTGGTGTATATATATACATTTCCTTTGCCCTCCTTCTCATAAAACATGTAGGTTAAAGTCTCGATAAGGCAACAAATACATAAGAGGCCAGGATCCTGGAGAGATGGAAATTCACTAAGGTGAGCATAAATTCTTACTCACCATTTCTCTATTGGTTGTTTAATGACTATAGGAGCAGAGAAAGAGGGCAGACAACCACTCAGACACAAGAAAACTCGCAGAGCTTTGACAAATTATCACTGCTGAATGGGGAAAAAAAATATTTGGAAGCTCCAAAAGCAGCTAGGACATGAGTAACCAAGATCTCAGAATGAAAAGATGCACAAGGTTCATCCATGTCCCTACAAAGGACCCAAACTCATCATTTTTGATGGCTGCATAATATTCCATGGTGTATATGTGCCACATTAAAGGGCAGAAGATCAAACACCACATGTTCTCACTCATAGGCGGGTGTTGAACAATGAAAACACATGGACACGGGGGGGGAGCACTACACACTGGGGTCATTTGAGGGGAAATAGGGGAGGGATGGTGGGGGGTGGGGAGCTGGGGAGGGATAGCAAGGGGAGAAATGCCAGATGTAGGTGATGGGGAGGAAGGCAGCAAATCACACTGCCACGTGTGTACCTATGCTACAATTTTGCATGTTCTTCACATGTACCCCGAAACCTAAAATGCAATAAAATAAATAAATGGGGAGAAAAAAAAAGATGTACAAAAAAGTGAGCAACAAAATCTGAACCGTTCTTTTCATAGAGCCACTTACTTAATCTAAATTTGCATAAGGCAAATGGACATGGCAAACAAAAAGCAGCTCATAATTTTTGGCAGGTTTGCAGTGCTAAGGAGACAAAAATTAGTGTTCAGGACATACCAAGAAGGACATAGTATAGTAAATACTTCTGGAAAGCTACATCTCAGTAGTAGATAGATTCTTACAAAGATGATATACTGGTGAAATCTGACAAAAAAAAACAAAATAAATATTTTCTGTAGCAGAATAATACCTTCAAAAGCATCTA